AAGTTTGTATTTTTATTTCTTTTTCTGTTTTTGTAGATGATAGTAGTAAGAAGACTAAAGAGAGAATTGAAACATTTATAAAGAACGGCTAGTACAATTTGAATTATTAGTTTAATTTATTTGAATTATACTTACCTTAGTCATCGGGAAAAAAGCCATGGGGGAAGATTTCGAGAATCAAATCGGATGTTGTTAATAATTTGGCTAGTATGTGAATGACGTTTTTAGTTTGTAGCAGTGGCCAAAGCAATTGAAGTGCTTTGATGGTGTTTAGTTCTTCGGTGCCTACTGCCAACTCATGAGGTGTGTTTTGTATTAGATTGTTAATTTTGTGATTATATTTAGTATTATGAATGAATTCTAGTATGGGAATTTCAATAGGTTGGATGAACTCATGCGGGATAATGAAGGGTCTTGATTCTTCATCATTGAGGGTCTTCATGAGGGGACAGAATATATACATTTGGGTAATGGGGTCATAGTTACGGAGGATGCCGTGGAGGTTAGTATTTTTAATGCAATATGTAAAATTAAGAAAAAATGGTGATGTGTATTTCGAGCTAATGAATTGAAAACGATGGTGGGGTTGTCGTGATAGTGTGTGTAAGTCAAAATGGTTTTTTATAAAACTGAATTGTTTTGAAAATTCACTGAATTGGTTGATGTATTTGGGAGATTCCAATGGTTAGAACATACGTGGTTGTTATTTTTTCGATGAAGGTGGTTTGGTTTTGATGAATGTGTGTAATTATAGTTATATTCTGCAAAACTGCTTCTTGTGAACGTTTTTCGTGGTCGTGACGGTTTTGTCATTGGTCTATATGTCTGGTAATCCATATGTGAATACTTAGGAGCAATAGAGGGTTTAACGGTTGATTGTGAGGTTACTTGTGGTAATGTTGTATTTCTATTTTTTGGTGTTGCAAGATTTGGATGTATTGGTGAGATACTTTGTTGTGTAGTTGTGACTGTTGTGTGGACTATTTCTTCATTTATGAAGTGTGATGGTGTCTGAATATCTTGCTGTGTAAGATTTCTAGTTCCATTGAGGTTTTCATGATGTATTACTGTTGAATTCAAGCTATTATTTTGTGTGTCGGGTGAAAATGTATTATAATTTAAAGGTGTTGCATCGATTGTTAATGGTATTATTCTTACATAATCTGGGTGAAGAGATATTGTATCTATTGCCTGGCTTGAGATGTCTACGAGAAAATTTAAAAATGCTGGATGAGACCATTCAGGGTCCCAAACGTAATCTGATTGATCTGCAATGAGTGTCGTCATTTGTACTTTGGGGTCTAAAGTTTTTTCTTGCTTGTTCAATTAAGTCGATATTGTGTGTGAAATAATCAATTAAAAACCATGCTAGTATTTTTTGTATATCATGTTTAGTTTTGTGAAACATCATTATTTGTAAAATTTTCACCAATTGCGTTTAAAAATGTTGAGAATGCGGCGATTTCGTTTCGTACTTTTGTGTGTTTTGATGTATTGACTGGTGATGTACTTTGAGCTTCTGTTCTTTCTAATATAGATAAATAAGTATAAATTATTGCAAAAACTTCGTTGGTGAATATCGAGTTTGCTCTTTGTGAGTTGTGATATTGTATGCTTTTGATATATTCTGTGAATACATTTGAAAATTCTAAATCAATATCGTCTGTTTGAGTAACATATTTGTTATCTGGTGTTCTTGGTGTACTGATTTCTATGGTGTAGATTCCGTATTGTTGCGTGAGGTTACATATTCCTTTTAAATAATGTTCTATAACTTGTCTTTTGATTTTTACATCTGGAAATTCTGATTTGCATGGACTGATTCCTGGGTTAAACAAATTTACGAGTAAATTTTTGCAAAATCCTGTCTGACCTCTATCATTTCGTGAATTTATACTAAAAGGGAAAAACTGCTTCTTCGTCTGCACTTTCGTCACTTTGAGTGTGGCTCATTTTTTCGTTTGACAACTGTTAATATGTATTTATTAATATGTCTAATTGGTTGATTCCAATTGTATTAATGTACTGGTTTGTTTTTATGTTTCTTTTTTATTCTGTTCTTTCCTTTTTTCGATGCGATTGAAGATGTTTCTGAATCGGAAAAATATATTGGATCCTGGGTTGGATAATTTTTACTTATTGAATCTCTTATTTTGTATACTGCATCTAGACTACTGACTTCTGATTCGGAGAATGCATTTCTATGTTTTGAAAATCTTTTTCGTGTTATCTGTCTGTTTGCTTAAAATTGTTCTTTTTAATATCTGTCGTTTTGTGTGAATGTATTCAACTGTTTGTGTATGTGGGGTTATTACAAGATCGTATTCTTGATTGTCTATTTCGCAGTTGTTTATTACGATTGTTTGTTTGTTTCCTAGGTTTTTCAATGACATAAGGTTTAGGATGATGGATGCAAAATTGTTTTTAGTGATTTTAATTTCCTAGACTGTTAGTCCTTACGATTTTTTGGTTAGCTTAACCTGGGTCTTTTTGTTCAGGGTTGGAGAGAAAAGTGTGTCGATTCCGGAGAATGACTTCACTTTCTCGTGACTAGTATAAGTTAAGGTGTTAACTTACTTAATCTTACTTAGGGGTAGTGATTGTGTTCAAGGGTTGGAGAATAGTAAATCGATCCACAAGGTTCAGGTATAATTAGAACGCAAGTAGTTCGTTAGATACTATTTTAAACTTACTAAGTTTAAGATTTATCCTGGGTCGTATTAGAGGAGGGGTCAAGTGAAGGATGAATAACCGAACTTCTTCACTGTTTAGTTTAATTTGAACGGTTAGTATTTGAAAAATTTTCCATTAGCATTAGTCCTGGGTCTATTGAAAAGGTTGGGTAGTGAATCGACAATTGAGGTCGTTAGACACTTGATAAGCGGGTGGGGGAGAACAAAATTGTTCCTTGTGATCCAAGGATAAGCCTTGATGATCAGAATTAAAACTATAAAATAGAAAATGAAATTAGATCCAATGGAAGCCTTGATGATCTGGTTTAATAATGAACAGAATTAAGTTTAAGAGATATAAGATTTAAGATTTAAGATTGTGAAATGTTTAAAATTAATGAAGTTTTAGTATTGATGATATAAGTTTATTTATGATTGCTGTTATGTTTAGGTGATGAAGCTGGAACAACAAGATGATTTATATTTACTAACAATTTTATTGTAATGCTACTAATTTTTGTTTTTTATTTTCAATAAATTATTTTTATCAAATATTTTTATATAGTAGTGCAGAATTGAAGGAAACGATTTGGGATGTTTTTATCAATCGTTATTGAACAATAATAGTTTTAATTAGCGCCTGAAAAATTCATTGAAAATTTTCTTCAAAAATTTTTATGTTTACAAATGAAAATCTAAATTCATTGCTAGTAAAACTCTAAATATAAAAGTTTTTGTTGGCTTTTGCCGTACGACCATGAAACTAAATGACAAGTTTCTATGTAGTCGTATGTCGTCTCTTGTCCGAGGTCTTTTTCCAATACCGGGTAGTTCTCGTATTGTACGGAATAGCGGCTCTGATCTATTGAGTCGTAGAGACCATTCAATTAAATTATTGTCGTTTAACATTTTGGAAATGTTTTGTCTATTTCTCATCTATTTTTGGTTAATTCTAAGCTATCTTGTTTTTTAAGGTCTTTATTCGAGACTTATGGTCGCACCAGACGAGGTAAGTATGAGGCGTATAACTCAGAGTAATTTCGGATAGGGTACACCGTCTGCTCGTCACACCATCTTATTTTCGGCCAGATAGATTCGTGCAACTTCTTAGTCTAATTCCGATCCTAATCTTATTCTTATATCTACTAGTCTCAGGGTGTTTAACTAGTCTCTGCTAGGCTCAATAGAACTAGAGTATACTGGTTTTATTGCGGCTGCTGAAGTTCTCGAGGAGAGGTAACTAATTTCTAAGTTAAATTCAAATCTCTCTGGCGCTGAAATTACAAGTAATTTCAGCACTTAACAATAAGTGGGTTGTTAGTTAGATGGATTATGATTGGTTAATATTAAATATTTTACAGTGGTAAAATACCTAATTTATATGAAATAATAAAATGTAGTTCAGATCAGGTTCCATTAGTTTTTGAAAAGAAATGAGTAACTTTCCACAAAACAGGAAAAACTGGACATTTTCAAAGGCCATAATTTTTGTTTCAAAAGGCAGGGCATAGGCGCTTCCGCAGGTATATATCGCATAACTGATTTTCTGTCTCCGTTCAGACCTTAATCTCCAATTTGGCAGGGCAGTTTTTGAGAAAAGTCAAAAAGTTTTAAAAATTAAGCAAAATGAGAAGGGGATATCCCATATTTTTTTCTTTCGATTGAGACCTTCTTCTCTGATTTGTGCATTTAATATTTCAGAACATGAAAAAATTCAAAAAAAAAGTACCACTAAAATCTAACTTCTGAAACTTTCGAAGGCCGTAGAACGTGAGGTAAAACGAAAAGAGACAATGTAAATATACAGGCACATAGAAGAACAGCCGGTTTTTCCATTGACTCCATTTTGAAAATTGGCTCGGTAGTTTTTGAGAAAAATTGAAACTTCTGCGAAAAGTGCAAAAAAAATTCAAAGCATACATTTTCATAATACATGTTTTCTTTTTCAAATAGGACCTAAAACTAACCAAAAACAAAGCAGCAACTTATGCCATTAAATTTATGCTGAAATAAGCCTAAATATTTTAAAATTGAAATATACTGAAATTGCCACCATATGAGCACTTGTATTTGCAACTTAGGTTAAAAAAATTCTTCGTAAAAATTCACTACGTTTCGTTTGTGTAACTGAGTAGTTTTTATTTGGTTAATTGACAATTTAAGTGTTACCATGCGAATTGCGTTTCCATTAAGGAATATTATAGTTGCATTGCATTGCACACGCCAGATTAAGCAGTGCATTGCACAAACCAGATGAAATAACCTGTGTATGAGAATCAAGCCTAACTTAACATTTTACCGATAATGAAAAGATAACCAATGATCAACCATTTTAAAGTTTTCGCGGTTTTGTACGTAGATTCCACCAGCATTTTTGACGAGTCTCCATATCACTTCGATCCCCGCTCTATCACTTCGATGATCAAACTTTTCCGCACAGTGGAAGACACAGAAGCGCAACAGGTCTTCACCCTGGAAACATGAAATTGATTACTTCAACTCCAGATGCATTTTTAAAAGAATTTTTTCAGAGCCTGTCCAAAACAGGAACAGATTCATTCACGTCAAATCTTCCATAATAAAAATACAATTGCTTCTTCTTACAGTTCGCCGTCTCTGTCTTGCCCTGGCCGGTCCCCTGTGACTCAGCCCGAACATCGTCTCTCCTTCTATCTCGAAGTCAGCTTCATGTGCTCTCCTCCCAAGCTTGGCACACTCTTTGACCCCTATTAGCAAGCATTTCATACTTTACTTTATATAATGAACGAAAGTATAACGAATCTACTTTTATAACACAAAAGTATGTTCCGATTTGATAACGCTTGCTCCTCGAAGCGAATAAACGCGGGTCGGCGGTAACTCGAATCCCAGGCCTTACGATCGTAAGACACAAGGAAAAGTCTAGTTCTTCCCTACAAGTACGCTTGCTTACGCAAATGAACTGTAAAACTGAGGATCTGCCATTGAAACTTCGTAAGAGCCAACTACTTAAAAATAATTGCATTTTAAACTAATTTTTAAGCTAAGTTTTCTTTAAAAATCCTCAAACTTCGCGCTGTTGTATCAACTAAAACAAAATTAAAATGATCTCTGATTATATCAAGAATTGTAGAAAGGTGAATTTTCTATGTCAAAATTGTTTTCAGTAAAACCCAAAATCAGCGGCTACACCATTCGAGCATCGATAATTTGGTTTATTTTATATCCACGAAAAATTAGCAGAAACTTACTATCTCGCAAGTTATTCAACATTGTTATTTAACATTCAATTTTCTTTACAGTGTTAATTATAATTTCTAACATTGATGTTAGCTATTTCTTAGAAATGTGGGTACTTCTTAGAAAAACACTTCGCTTACAACTGTTCACCAGATTGAATATCATTCCGCTTTCTGAACTCTTCAACGATGTAATCACGTATGGGAAGCTCAGAACCCAACTTGGCGTTGAGAAAGTTGGAAAACTGGCATGTTTTTTTTTCAATAGTTAACTGTTAGTTGGTTATTTTCGAAAATAACATACAATTTGCCCACCCCGTCTCGCGTTATTAACTAAAAAAATAAAAAAATATATCAACTTGAAGACTACGATGCCTACAGATGCGTGTACAACTTACAGGCGAAATCCACAATCCAGAGGCCCTTGGAAACAGCTTCGAGGTACTTCACGGTCCTTTTACACATCCAAATCCCTCCACTATCTGAATCCGGTACCCTCTTTACTACCAGATGTGTCGTCTGGTCAGTCACCTGCTTCTGACAAACCCCACCCAGTTTTTGGCATACCGAATTCACTGTAAGCTTAAACATACAAAATAATGATACTAAACTGAGCAGCAAAAGGCATGCTTTAAACACAAAAATTCCATTTTTATATAAGTGCAAATAAACTTAGTTTATCCTATGTAGAGTTTGCTTTATTTTATTGTTTCTACATATACAAAAACTTCGGTCAAAGGTTTAATTTATCCCATTGACCATAATAAAGTTTTAAAGTTTTATCACTTTGTATGATTGAAACCAAATTATTAGTATTTGAGACAACATAATATCGGCAAATACACAGAGACGAAGCGGAGCTTTGCAAAACTTCCGATACAATTTAAACAATGCATTACAAGATATTGAAAGTTACATTTTTAGAAAATACAGCAGAAAAAATGAATCGATGAAACTTTATCTACAAAAACTTCATATCTTTCGTTGAGATGACGTTCATAAACAGCCGTAGCAAACAAGGACAATCAAAAAACGAGCGTCAAATAAGGCTGAAAATAACTTGGGTCGACCCTCATTAAGCCGAAAACGAAACTAGTGTTAAAAAATTTCAGGTTATATTTATAAAATCAAAATTTTAAGAACCATCACACATCACGCTGTTTTTATTGAACGTTATTAAAAAACAGTCAAAAACTCAACTTTTTGAACTTTCTGAGGGGCGGAACTTTTTGTGGTGTGCCGGAAAAAATTGGTCGTAGCCACTTATGCGGGAAGTTTCCACAACCCGTGCTTTTTATTGGACCCAAAATATCAGATTTGTGATGGGTGCTTTTTATTGAACCCAAAATATAAGATTTGGGATGGTAGTTTTCGAGAAAAAAATCCTTAAGAACTCGTTCATAAAAAATTTAATATGTCTTGATAGAAGTACACTCCAGGCAAACATGCCAGACTTTTGAATTTTAAAACAGCAACAACGGAACAAAATTTACGAAAAGAAACAACCGACAATCTTTGAGCAGACACAAGTTGAGCCGGAAAAAAATAAGGATTTTATAAAAAAAAAGTTTAAGGTCCCACCTTAAACAACAATGGACAACACTTGCACTTGCAACTACAAAGATATTTCTTAGGTGAATTAGTGTGTGGCACCTAAGCCAACGATCTTTGAGCTGAAACCACTTGTACCGAAAAAAAACAAGTTTTTGATTTTATAAGTCCCCCTTGAAACTAGAATGAACATCGATTGCAATTGCAACTACAATGAAAGTTGCTTACAGCAAACAAAATCAGTGATGTAGCAACTAAGCCGACAATCTTTGAGCACACATCACACTTGCAAATTGAATGAAAACCCGTTGCGGCGATTTAAACGGCAAAATTTGAGCGAACATTCGAAAATCCAAATATGCATTTTTCTTTATTTTTTTCCAATATTAGTATAGTAAAAGTGGCTAGGAAAATGACCACTTTTAACACCCCCCCCCCATTTTTCGGTGTGCCGTTGTACTTACCACTTTTAACCCCCAAAGGGGTTAAAGCCCCTACTTTTTCGGGCACGCATGTTTTAAGGGGGGTTTTGGTTGGTGCTTGGAATTAAGTTTTGGTTGGTGCATGTTTTCCCTTCTGAAGTTTCGGGGTATTGGCTTGTTTACATGTAAAATGACGTTATATACCTATTATATGCAACCAAACTATATGTTATATAGGAAAGAACAATATTTTGGCAGCGTAGCTGAACTGTTGGCTGCGGTGAACGATTTCCTTCAAAAATGCATGTTTTATTGCTGAATCTCGAAGAAAGGAAAATTCGTCAAGTGCAGCGGCCGCCACCTCTATTCAGGCAAAAATGAATGATCTATTTGAACAAAATAAGAATGAATTACCCGAAAGTTGAGTTCGTCGAAATCGTTGAAATAAAATAAAGTAAAATAAGAAAGGGGGATGTTGAGGAAGGGGACTAAAAAATATAATTTGATTAAAAAAAACCTCTTCTTTATAAGAAGAGGTGAGAAAAAATGGAGCTGCTGGGCAGTCTATCAGCCCCAGCAGATCGGAAGCCCTGCACGCAATCCATTTCCCGAGGGCGACCACGTCCCTGAGTTGCTCAGAGAGGAGTTCCCACAAAAGTCCGGGGAAGGGGTTTCCCCTTGGCCCACTGGCGCGTTTTGATCCACAGCTCCTTCACCACTAGGACCTCAGGATCGGGCCCAGCCTTATACCGAACGTGTACTTCCTCAACTGGGATGTTTATGAGGGTTAACCCTCCGAAAGGGATTTTCACAAACTCTAGGTATGATGGCATCTAAAACAAGCAAATTAACATTTTAAATCACATGTTATTGTTCATCAAATAAAAACTTTTGGAACAGCAGGTTTCGGAAGGTGATAATTTTGCCAAAATTTCCCTAAATTTTCCCCGAGTTGAAAATACGCTCATCACGACAACACAGACAGAAGAAATTGTACTTTTAGCTGCGTGTTATTTTCAACCAGTTTAGAAATTTGAAGTTTGATAATCAGCTTAGTGACAAAGTCAAACAAGAAGTCAAATCAGGACAATTTCAAAAGTAGCATTCGACAAATCAAATGTTTTTACAAGTTTTTGTTTCCAAGCTGATTGAAAGAAAAAATAAAGCGCAGACTGAAAATTTATGTTTACTAAAATGTTAAAATTATATGAAAAAGGCTGATGGTCTAATTTAATGTATATCACCGAGTTGTAGATATCAGCTGTTGGTATCTAACAGGTTACTTTTATTTCCACTGTTTTGAAATTCAGCAGGCTCGAAGAGTGTCGGAAAAAATGAAATTCGAAAAACGTAGAGTTACCTCAACAGACTTGGAAACCATTCATGAGATTTATTTGACTGTGAAAAAAACTTATCCGGAAGTTCTGACCGTCGGAATTACTTTCTGGCTGCATGTTCTCTGTTTTTCTTTTTCAGTGAAAATGATTTAAATTATGACGTAGCTATTAAACTTAGGCCATATGGAGGTCTTATTGGCATAGACGACTCTTCCTTGGACAAATATTTTAAAGATTCAAAAATACTACGTCTGCATGCAATTTTACATGACACTGCAGGTTTTGTTGACGAAGTTTACAACACGGGTCCCACTTACTGCTATATGTTACCCTGGAAGTGTAACAGCAGTCTGATTGATCATTTGATCGGTATTACTTTCTGTTTATTCGTCAAACTAGCCAGACCAGAACTCTATCAATTAGAATAATGAGCGAACAATCAGTCGTGATAGATTTGGAAGGATTTCGTGATAAAAAAGTACCTGTATAGTTAAAGAAATAGCCATCACGACTTCTGAAAATAGCGGCTCCCTTATTTTTCTACCTCCAGTCCCTTTCAACTCACTACCCAAAGCTGAACAAAAAGCGTACAACTGGTTAACGCATTACTTGCACGGAATTCACTGGGAAAGCGGAGATTCTTTATATTTAAACCTGAATCAGATTATTCAAAGTTTTGTTTTGAGAAATCCTAACACTGTATTTTACGCCAAAGGAAAAGAGAAGGCTGAACTCCTTGCAAAGTACTTGGATCGAGAAGTTGTGAATCTTAATGAATTGGGTTGCCCGAGAATTGAAAACTTACAATTAAAGAATTATCCATCTTGCAATAGACACTTACCTAATAACAACTCTAGGAATCACCGTTCACTGAAAAAAAACGAAGGTCTTTTTTGACTGGCTGACAAATGAGCAACAACGAAAGACTAGCGGAGACGTACCTATTTCCAAATTTAGTGTTCTTGGCTTGGATGACACCAGAGAGTGATGTCAAAATAACTCTCACCAGAACAGAACATATCAATTGCCGAGGTCAAGTTGTGCAGCGGAAAGGACAAATTACTCTATCAGGAGACGAATTGACTACTTCAAGAAACTTTTTCCCAGTGATTGACCAATTCATCTATTTTCAACGCCACAAGTAGTCCAACGGCCAACAAACGAGGAGTATGTCTTCCCAGGCTAGTCTTAGTGCCCAAACGTCAACCCGGAGTTCAAATGGATCTTCAAAGCAGTGACCTACTTGAGGAAGTTCAGAAACTAGTAAAAAAGAACTCTGTAAAGAAAGTTGTATTTCATGCAAAAATTGAATATGTGCCAGCCAATTATATTGTAGAAATGCATGACAATCACATAACTACTGACTCTACAAGTTATACTCGATAAGAGATTTTTATTGTTCTGAAGTATAGATAATACATATTTTATGACAAAAACACATTTTTTCATTCTCATTAAGAAACTAATGTTATAGATAGAGAGTTAGAAAGAACCAGATAGAGAGAGAGAGAGAGAAATAAATCGAACGACTGAATGACTGAATTAGCGATTGATGAGCCTGATGATACTATAGTTACCAATTTTGCTTATGATCAAACAAACACTGAGCAAAAATCTTGGAAGTTTTGCAATGATGTTACAGTCCCCAGATCAGAAGTAGTTTTTATGTCTCAAATGGTTTTAATTTTCATTTTACTTACTTTTTGTATCTATTAACTTTCTTGGACGCAAATAAGCTGTGAAGAAACGTCAGTTTGGTTTTCAATATTGTCTGGTTTAGTTGGGTACGTGCTACCAAACCCGAGGATATGAATAAAAGTATTGATACGTCGACAAGACTGTTTATGGCAGTTGTAGGACCGTCAAGATCTGGAAAAACAGAGTTGATTTTCAAGCTATTGATAGGAAGATCATTTTATCTCAAATTTCATAGAGTGTTATTTTTTTACAAAGATATTTAACCTGTAGTAATGGACGAGTTAAACGCTCGCAGAAGTCATATTGAATTTGTAAAATTTGACCGATTCGATCGTTTGAGAAACATTGAAACCATTCTGTTAGTGATTGATGACTCATGCGAAGAAATATACAATAATAAAGAAATCGTTAAACTAGCAACAGCAGGAAGACACAGGGGCTTAGATGTTATTTATCTTAAACATAATTTATTCCAACAAAGCCGATGGTCACGAACTATTGATTTGAACACACCTCACATCATTTTATTCAAATCACCTCGTGATATTCAGCAACTTGATCAACTCGGAAGGCAACTTAATGCACCTAAAATCTTACGTCAATCGTATGAAGTGGCTACAAAAGACAGCTTCGGACATCTATTAATAGATTTAGATCCCCGAACATCAGACTGTCTCAGATACTGTTCAAACATAAGACCACCTGGTCCGTCAATTTTCTATTTACCATTAGATAAAGCAGAAGTGACACCCATCACAAATGAACGCGAAAAAATTATTTATTCTGCAGCGCATGGTACAGTTGAACCCAACTCAACTACGAGGCTTCATTAGAAAAAAAACATCAAATAGTCAAATCATATCAGTTGTTTGTGAATGCTTGATCAATGTAGTCAACGGTAATGTGGCTGTCAGTATCCCAAACCTCAATAAATTCGAAACAGCATACAAAATTTTAATCAATCCAAAAACGAGTCCTGAAAAAAAACGAGCTATTATACTGAGCAAACAAGGATTTTATCTAATCAGACAAATATTTTATTTTTGCTTCAAGTGTTTGACTGCATAGAAACGGCAGCAGAAGAATTTGTTCTAATTCCAAAGCATATGTACATCAGAGATCAAACACATGCAGCACAGATTTTGCTTGACAACTCAATCAAGCACAAGAAACAGCAACTATCATATTTGAACCGTTTGAGACCACTAAATGAATCAGCAAGAACAACAACATCAGCAATTGATACGCCAGCAGTCATTCCCCCAACCCCTGAACCACCTATTGTTGCCAAAGCAGAAAACAATCCACAAAAACAAGCTTTCCCTCTCACTTCTCAAGATGATGATGATGATGTTGATGATGATGATGATGAAGGTAACGAGAAGGGAAAAAGTGATGAGCTTAGTGAGGCATTATCCACAGAACGTATCCTGTTACAATTATAGCTCATGGACTAACACAAACTTAAGCGAGCGAAAAAGTTCTTGAAGCAATTAAAAAGTCAGAGAGAGTCAAAATAAATAAAGATAATGAAGAAACTTACGTTGATAAAGTGCCAACCGGTCTTAAAGCATCAGTTTTTCTGTATGATATACAACAACAAACTAAAAAACTCTACAATCCTGCTTTTATACTGATTTTGAGGTCACTCAAACTTGATGAACGGTTGCTTATGAACAAGTATGCCAAAGTCGCGGTTCAGTCAACGAATACGGAACAAGCTCAACAGAAACAAAGAAGCAGAGGTTCCACAAATTCCCCTTCAAAATCTACATGCCTCTTTTTCCTTTCTCCCGAGAAACCGTCGTCGTCGTCGTCGTCAACAAAATCCACCTCAAAAAGCAGCCAGAGACGCAAAACCAGAAAGACTGTTGCAGACAGTGAAAGAGAACGCTCACCGCAAAAAAACAAACGAGAAGAAGGTGCAGCAGAAGAAGAAGACTCCGAGTCGTACGAAACGCCCCATAACGATTCAGATTCTGCAACGACAGAGAAGAAGAAGACAAAAACAAACAAAAAATGGCAAGATTACACCAGCTGAAGAAAAAATATTGAAAACTAAATGATTAAGTAAAGGTCCAGCATTGTTTGGCAGTGTACAAAATTTAAAAGAGGAATCAAAAATTTCACGAAGTAAAGTGAAACGTTTTTTACATACAGAGCCAGCATATACAAAATACCGAACAGTTCGTCGCAAAACACCACGCCTCAAAGTGATAGTTTATGACAGACGAAATATGGTCAATTGACCTGGCGTATGTTGATAAACTTGCAGATTACAACAAAAATATTAAATATCTTATGGTTGCAGTGGATTGCATGTCCCGCTTTCTACGTGTACAACCATTAAAATCAAAGTATGCCACCTCAACTGAGGAACCATTCAAACAAATGATAAAAACAAAACAGCCAAAAAAAGTCTGGGTAGATAAAGGCACAGAGTTCAAGGGGTCATTCAAAACATTATGTGAGGAAAAGGACATGGAAACTTATACAACAGAATGTGAAAAAAAATCCGCTTTCGCGGAGAGGAACATTCGATCACTAAAGGGTTTGATTTATAAGTATTTGGAGGACAAATGGACCTACTCATACATCGATAAGCTTCAAGATTTTGTCAACACAATTAACTCGAGAACAAATCGCGTTACCAAAATCGCCCCGGATGAAGTTACCAAAAAGTACGTTCCACGTCTCATTTCAATAAGAGTGGAACAATCGCAGAAACTACTACGCCGACCAAAGCTCTACGTTGGTGATTTT